TAAACCGCCATCTGGAATATACCAAACTTTTATCTGTAAATAATATAAGAAAATCATTAGTGATGAACCTGACAACTGACATTTTGTCTCCCATACCTTGCCATTACAGGCAAGGAAATAAAGTACTGTAGGATACTTTATTTTAGCTGAAATTAATTTTCTCTGAAAAGACTTTTTGGGTGTTTTGGGGATTGTTGACGAGTTGAATGTAAAGTAAAGAGAAAAAGGTATATTTTATTTTCACTGAATCATTTCTTCAGCGAAAATTAATTCCAACGAAAATAAAGTATTTTACAATATTGAATATAATTTTCAATTTGTATAAGAATATTACAAAATTCCTTTAATTCAAACTATATACAACTTTGATCTTCAGGGTTCCTACAGTGTATAAAATATAAAATTTTTCAAGACTTTTTTAAACTCTTATTTCTGGATCATATTTATGTTTTAGAAAAAGACGTTTAAAGCTCAGAAAAGTCAAACTCAGGCCTGAAGTCAGCAGATTGCATGCCATTATTGCAGTTTTGAAATTCGTAAAAAATAAAATTTAGACATTTTATGACTTCTTAAAGATCCAGCCAGGAACCCTGCTTTCGGATATTAATTAAGAATTCATTCATTCCCTCTATGCATTTCTTACCAAGATGCACAGAACTCTGATCAACCTTAAAGATGGGAACATTCTAATTGTTGACACTGCGATGAATTGGTCTCAAATACCAATGTACAGGTGATGTTAGAACAAAAAGTAGTATGAACAAAGATAATGGAAAGTACAGGTATGCAGGCTATGTAATATTGTCTGAAGGTTTTGTGTCAAATGAAACTGTATTTAAATTGTAAGCCATAGGTTAAAGATGATAACATTCTAATTGGTGCACACCGAGATGGATCAGTCTTGAATACCAATGTAATGTTATAACACAGGGTAAAATGAACATTCACCAGCATGCATATCATATGTATTGTCCCAATGCCTACTCGGAAAGATTTTGTCAAATGAAACTGTATTTAAATTGTAAGCCATAGGTTAAAGATGATAACATTCTAATTGGTGCACACCGAGATGGATCAGTCTTGAATACCAATGTAATGTTACCGTATAACACAGGGTAAAATGAACATTCACCAGCATGCATATCATATGTATTGTCCCAATGCCTACTCGGAAAGATTTTGTCAAATGAAACTGTATTTAAATTGTAAGCCATAGGTTAAAGATGATAACATTCTAATTGGTGCACACCGAGATGGATCAGTCTTGAATACCAATGTAATGTTATAACACAGGGTAAAATGAACATTCACCAGCATGCATGTCATATGGTATTGTCCCAATGTCTACTTGGAAAGGTTTTGTCAAATGAAACTGTATTCAAGTCATAGGTTGAAAATGAGAACATTCTAATTGGTGCACACCGAGATGGATCAGTCTTGAATACCAATGTAATGTTACAGTATAACACAGGGTAAAATGAACATTCACCAGCATGCATATCATATGGTATTGTCCCAATGTCTACTCGGAAAGGTTTTGTCAAATAAAACTGTATTCAAGTCATAGGTTGAAAATGAGAACATTCTAATTGGTGCACACCGAGATGGATCAGTCTTGAATACCAATGTAATGAGATAACACAGAGTACGGTGAACAGAGACAATGGTAAGCATGTATGGAATGTACGTTTCTTTCAAGGTATCACTGTAACATTCGCTCAAGCGAGGTCAAGCCAAATTCAATTTTAACACTACTGAACATGTTACTGTATACATATGCAATGCATTATAGTAGAGTACTTCTCATAGTACATATGGGAAAACTACAATCATACTGAAAACTAAATTTCAGTTCTTTGTAATGTTTTAACAATATTTTTTCATCCCATGCCATTGAGCAAAATTTGAAATATCACTCACCCAAACCAAGTCCAGTAGAACTTATTAACATTCTCTCAATTTATATCAATTTGAACTAATTTTAAAAGCATAGCATAGCTTCCCTAATTGCTTACATTAACATTTTCACCACCAGTCTGCACTTTTGGGACAAAAGTAGCCAAAAAGTAAAAAAAAATTGACTCAAATTATATCTGTTGGCACCAAATATTGGGGTTCATTTCCAGAAATATTGAAGAATATAAGAAATCAAAGAAAGCTTAGAAAGAACTCCCGTGTGCTGAGAGTTTTGGAGACACATTAAAAATTAATTCAAAATTACTTTTACTTGAGATATTGATGGAATAGCTGAAAACTAATTATGCAAATAAGTAACTAATATGACAGATTTAAGTGTAAAACTAATAATGTCTGCACAATGTACCAAGTTTCATTGAAATGTGATAGAACCAAAAAAATATTATTATTATGCTATTAGAGATTATATGACAGATTT